CTTTGTTCAGCATTATATCCACACTGTGTATGCTACCTGCGCCAAAGTCACTCAGTAGCCTTATTGGTTAATGGAAGTCGTATTACAAGGCTTGAATCCAAGACAGTGGGACAAAAAGCAGAGACAAAGAGATACAGACAGAGACACAGAGAGAGAGAGATGATAGAGACAGAGAACAACAACATTCACAAAGATTGTATTACAGTATATTGCTGTAATTGTTCTATTTTGTGATTAACTATTGTTGATTCTTACTATGCATAATTGCAAATTGAGCTTTATCACAGGAAAACAATATATATGTATATATAGATAGGTACATATCTATATATACATATATATGAAGAGTTCCACACTGTCTGCTGTCTTAAGTACCCATGAGGATCTTTACAATGTACCCCCTGTGGCTAAGGAGGGAATTCTGTACTTAGGATCTCCTTCCCAATGCTGTGATATGGAAGGAACAGTTGGCAAAGGCATAAAAAATTGTAAGAGGGAAACAAACAGACTGTGGTGGTCTAGACGAAGAGGTTTTAAAATAAAAGGTAGCATTTAACAAACCAGAGTGTATTCCTATCGTGAAGATTTAGTCTATGAACTCAAGGAAGATTGCTATGGGAAGAATAAGCACTTTGGATCTACTGCAGAACATGTGACTATAAGTAATAACATATCCTATATTTTGAAATTACTGTCAATGTTCTCACTACAAAAATAAATCGTTGAGGTGATATATATATTACCATTTGATGTAATCCTTTCTTCCACAATGGAGGCATAGATCAAAATATGGCACTGTACCCTGTGTATATGTGCTTCTTAAATGTTTTATTGCTATTTTCCAGGGAAAATTTTAGAGAAAGAGATGTGAAAGCGAAGTTATTAAGGCCAAAGGGAAATGACACAATCAGGAAGCTTAGCTGTTCAGAAATATGTGTGGATTCTATGAATTGCATCAAACATGCCAAATCCCTGATAACAGCCTGTGAGAATTTTTCCCTTCCCAACGGAATGTCTTTATAAGCTATGTCAATGTTAGAAAAATCACAAAGGGCTGAAGGTAGAGCTTAAGTGGTAGAGCACCAACAGAACAAGCAGAGTGAGTATGAGGCACTGGGTTCCAACCCTGGTACTGGCAAAAATAAATAAATAAAATGAACACACACACATAAATTTAAATGTCTGAAAAGAATAGTCCCTCCCATAGAGGGACTTGGGATATAGCCGAGCAGCATGTTCGAATCTTCCCAGCTCCCATCCCTGAGCAGAAAACCACAAAGTGAGAAATGTCCCCAGAGCTGTGCAGTTGGCTGGACTGTGTGTCTGCACATTGGCTTGCACCCTCTGCTGAGCCCAGACTCACCAGGCTGCCTGCTACATGCTCTCCACCTCCCCCACTGCCTGCAAGCTTCAGATCCTGTTGCCAAATTCAGGCCTTCCATGAGTGACACTAGATAGAGATCTCCTGTCACTAATTAGGTATCCTAGTGAGAGAAAAGAAACTTTCCCCCATGCCCAGTCATTGGAAAAGAAATATTATCTTCAAAGAAAAGTCTTTACCTAAGATCTGAAGTGCAAGCATATTTGTCTTTTCTAGACTAACCTTGCCAGGAGATTTGAATTTAAATAAGGATTCTCTACAGTCTATTAATCTAGGATGGTGTGGTAGCAGAGAAAGCCAGGGTAACTGAAGACCAAGGGCTGAGGAACAGCATGATGGAGTCCATCCAGGACTGCAGATGCTTTCTTTGTTTCCCCTCAGCCCCTCCTCTGCTGGACTACTTCTGCTGTCCTGGAAGGAGGCTGGCCAGGGTCTGGTTTCACACACAGTGTGTCTCTTCTGCCTCAGAGCAGAGACAGAAGGTGGGCCTCAGGTAGAAACTGGCCTCCTGCTACTGCCCAGAGATCACATCTTGATCCATCTTTTAGCTTGTAGTTATTTTCCAGATAGTGTCTCTCACTTTTGCCTGGTGCTAGCCTTAGACTATGATCCTCCTTCCTCCACCTTCTCCTGGGATCATTCCACTTGCTAACTGTACCAACTTCCTACCCTACAGATTATACTTGTTTCCACAGGAGGGGAGAAAGGGGGAAGAGGTTGCTCTGGTCGCACTCTCTTGGCCCTTAGTATTTGAGCCCCTTTTATTGTTGTTTTTCTCTGCTGCTTCTTTTCCCATGAACATGTCTTGGTCTCTAGTAGCTACAAATAATGAATATAGTTGTCCTTCCATTTACTGAGTGCTAGGCCCCTCCTTATCTTTTCTTCTTGCCTTCACAACCTAGATCACTCATGGAAGAGTCTGTACTGCCCCTCTCTCCATTCCTCTCCAGGCAGCTTTTACTCTTCCTTCTCCGCCACCCATTAAGACTCTAAGGACCTCTTCCTTGTCAAGTCCAGTGTCACGGTTATATACCAAAAGGCCTCTTGGAAGCCAGGCATGGTGGCATATACATGACTTGTCAGCTACACAGAAGGCAAAGATGGAAGGACCATGGTTTGAGGCCAGACTTGGGAGAAAGTTGACAAACCAGGAGTAATAGTATATACCTAATCCTAGCTTAGGCGGAGGTGGAGGTGTGAGGACAAAAGTGAGAGACACTATCTGAAAAGCAAGTACAAAGCTAAAACCATTTGGGGATATGGCTCAGGTGGTAGAACACTTGCCTATCAAGGTCAAGGCCCTGGGTTCAAATTGTACTACTGCAAAAAAATAAACTTCCCCTAAGCAAGCAAACTCCTGAGCTGGCCTTCCATCCATTCCTGCCACCCTCATTGAAGACCTTCTCATCCTTCTTCATTCCAAGTCTTAGTAACAAAACCATCACTTCTCTGTCTTTTCCATGGTGACTGCCACACTCTAGGGACTGCTTTTTTGATCCATTATAGACTACTTCAGTATTTCAGGCTGAAGGGAATGGAGGGAAAAAAACTCAGCGCAAGCTCCACCCTGGCCTCTCTACACATCTTCCACAAATACAGACTTGCAAACAGCTCTCCTTATTCTCTAAGAAAGATAAAGCACAAATGTTAATTTGTCATAACAGTGTATCATTGTCTTATCTTCATCTGTGTGAAAAGCTCAGTTTTAAAGAGCATCAACCCCAGAGCTCTAGCATAAAGTGCTACCTAAAACCATGTTCTTCATATCCGGGGTTTTACTTGCCCAGACCCAGGTAATTTAGGGGTAATTATAACAGAATTCACAGGGTATCAGAAACAACAGATGTGTTGAGGTATGTGAAAGTTTTAGAACATCACCTGACACAAAGGAATGTTGTGTATAGTTGTTGAAGTGGGGATGGCCTGCCTACTGTCTCCTGTGATCTCTCTTCTTCATGCACTCGTATCAGTATTCCCTTCAGCTGTAATCAACAGCAGACAGATCCTTGCCCACCACAGTGGCTTACCTACCCCCATGTCTTTACTTGAGATCCATTTATTTATTTATCTATTTTACTTTTTATTTTTTGTCAGTCATGGGGCTTGAACTCTGGGCCTGGGTGCTGTCCCTCAGCTCTTCAGCTCAAGGTGCTTTAGCCCTTGAGCCACAGTGCCACTTCCGGTTTTCTGGTAGTTTATTAGAGATAAGAGTCTCATGGACTTTCCTGTCCAGGCTGACTTTGAACCATAATCCTCAGATCTCAGCCTCCTCAGTAGCTAGGATTACAGGTGTGAGCCATTGACACCCACTTGAGCATCCTTTATTAACCAAATAAACTCCTCTTTACTACCCAGGACTTGATGCAACCATTGATGCTTCTGGGAAGCCTTCCCCCTAAACCAGCCCTCTTCAATTCCTGAGGCACCCCAAATGAATTTCTCTTTTAGCTTGCTTCATTTCAATTAATTGTTTTTTTAAAGCCCCAGAGTTGTTCTTTTGGAGTGCTCATCACGCCAATCCCCATGGTACTTACACATATTCTCTAATTTAAACAGCAGACCTACCATACATTTGCCATTCTTCCCACTTCAGGAGGCTCTTTATGGCCAGGAATCCTGTCCTGATCATCTTTGAATCTCCTGCATCCTTAAGATGCCTGGTACATTGTGGGAACATGATTAAATTAGCATGTCTTAATAAAACCAATCAGAACTGGGCTGTACTCAGAGAGAAGGAAAACATACAAACTACTGACATTGAGAGGTATTTAGGGAAAGGATGGATAAGTTCTTGGATCTGAAAGTCATCAGTGCTATCAGCAAAGACTATGTAACTGCCCCACCCCATCATCAAATATTATTACTATGTGAACATTTTCTATAGTGCTCAGAGGTTAATGTGCTCTCATCTGATTCTGTATTGTCATATAATCTCAGGTCTTTACAAGGACATACTAATACAATTCACAATGACATTTTATTCTGTGCTCTCACTTCCAGGGTCAAATGCAAAGTTCTGAGAAGTTTTGCAAGGTCCTCACATCATGAGCTGCCATCTTTGGTGAAGGGCAAAGAGCTCTGATGACCTATTCTCTTTGTAACACCAGATGCAAATGCCACAAATTATAGAAGTTTATAATCAGCAATAAATGTTATAGTTTCTGTGGCAATGGTCTCAGAGCATAAAAACAAATAAGTATTGTTTCATCGTTGCAACAGAATTTGATTTTATAAATCAGATCTAGGTAAAAGGGGTTCTGAGTTAAATAGCCCAATTTCAGTTCACTTTTCTCCCACACTTCGAGAACATAGAAAACTGTGTACAATTCAGCTATAAAGAATGGTTAAGATCAAAACTGTTCAACACATTAAGGAAAACCAGCCTGGGTGACCTTGAAGCTGACCTTGACAGATGGTCAGCAACAACCAGACATGCTAGTGTCCTTAACAGGTGTCAGTGGGAATAGATCAGTTCATCAAACTTATCTGGAGTTCCAGGCTAACTCTGACAGCTTCCAGCCCAGCTTAGTGCATCCCAGAAATCTAAAACTTAGCATCTGATTCTTTGGAGGACTGTATATGGTGGGAAGAGTAACCTCCTGTGGTTGTGTTTTCTCAGGAACTACCACTGCTGGAATGAAGCTTGGATGACAAGGCCTGACCTTCCTGTTGGATTTGGGGGCTGGCAAGCCGTGGACAGCACTCCCCAGGAAAACAGTGATGGTAAAACGACCTCTTCCTTCCCTCAGGGAAGTTGTTTCTCTGCTGACCTTATTTCAATTATGTGTCTTCACTTGGTTGCATGGGCAGCATGCTTATTCGGAACCAACAGCAGTAATATGTTTTCTGGATAATATTAACTGCCTGTCAATCAGGTTTCCATTCATTTCAATAGTCAGCTTTACCCTGATTGTTTTACAACTTTTGGGAAAGGAATATAAAACTTAACCCATATAATTCATCTGCTCTTGCTTTGATAAGCAGTTCTGAAAAGAACAGAAAAATATATCTGTGTAAGCATTTTTTTACTTGGCTATAAAATATACTTTAGCCCTCTGTAGTTTAAAGTGATAAGATATAAGGCTGTAGAAGAAAATAAAGAACTTGATAAATAATTATAAATCATCCTCCAAATTGTTGATCTCCCAGAGTCAGGTTTCTTTTATGTTATACAATTCCTTTCAAAACTTCCAGTGTTTATCTTCTAACTTGCCAACTCTACTAAACAGTAAGAGCTATGGTCTACCCCAGAATTTCAAAAAATCATACCCCAATTCTCCAACTCTATTTAATATGATGTTAAAATTACTGCACTGGGAAAATTGTATTTACCTGTGTCTATGTCCTCTGGTGTTAATCTAAGACAGTAGTGTTGATACATAGCCTGTGTGAACAGACATTCTGCACATGTCTACAATGGAACAATATTGAAATACTGAATTCTAGGGAAGGAAGGTTAACACTTTCTGATGTGCTAGATTGTTTATCATGAGGAGACCTCAGAGGAGAGAGACTAATGGCAGGTAATCTCACTAACTATGGATAGATGGTTGAAATATAAAAAATTTGTAAAAGTAGACATGAGCTTGCTAATTTCCTGGATGAACATTGGGCTTTGTCCAATCTATGTGATTAGTGTCCAGATTCTCCATCTAAACCTGACCTATGTCCATAATGTCCAACAAAACAAAAATTAGAACAAATGGATACAACACAACCACCTGACAATATGTCAACATTTCCAACATATCAGATCTCAGTTGAAAAAGGGACAAACACTGCAGAAGCCCACAGAGTGGCACAAACACTCAAGTATATGTCTATAGGTAGCAGAATAGATAAAGGAATAGTGTTGCCCCACAATCTTTGTTCTTTTCCTAGCTTTAATTTTTGGCTTGACTAGGCATTTTATACATTGATCATGTGCCCTCTCTAGGCATAGAAAGCATTTGGGCAATATCAATAATGAAGCTGGGCACAGCTGGCTCAAGCTTATCATCCTAGCTTTTGAGAGGTTGAGGGTAGGAAGATTATGGTTCTAGAACAATCCAGGCCAAGAAGCTGGTGAGAAACATTCCCAACCCATAAGATGCAGTAATATGCACTCATCATTTCATGGGAGGCTGAGAATAAAAGGATTATAGTTCCCAACCAGCCCAGGAAGAGAACTCAACACTATTTCAGCAGAGAGAAGTCAGGCACGATAGTTTATGCCTGTTATACCAACTCTGCCATCTTCAACCAGAATCCTTAAATAAGCAGGTCTAGACTGAGATCCAAGTGTGTACCTGAGCAGGAAGCCAGATCCTAACCTAAAAATAACCACTACATTGTCAGGTACCAGTGGCTTATGTCTGAAATTCTAGCTAATCAGGAGGCTGAGACCTAAGGCTCAAGGTTCAAGGCCAGCCCAGACAGAAAAGTCCATGATACTCTTATCTCTAATAAACTACCAAAAAGCCAGAAGTAGAGCTGCGGTTCAAGTAGTATAGAGCTAGCCTTAAGGGGAAACAAAGCTCAGGGACAGTGCTAAGGCTTTGAATTCAAGCCTCAGGATGAGCACAAAAATAAATAGTTAAATAAATAGTACAAAAAAGGCTTCAGAGGTGGCTCAGAGCTAAAATATCTGCTTAGCAAACTCAAGGTACTGAATCCAAACTTCAACACCACTAAAAAACATCCATCTGTGGTAAAGCTGAGGAACACTGGTGTCTGTAGACCCACTTTGCTGTTATGTATAGCTGCCCAGAACATAGGCAGAATTAGAAATGACACACTCACACCTTCCTCCTCTGTGTGATCCAGGTATGTACCGCTGTGGCCCAGCCTCGGTTCAAGCTGTTAAGCATGGCCATGTCTGCTTCCAGTTTGATGCTCCTTTTGTTTTTGCTGAGGTAAGTCAAATGCTTCTGGAAGGAGTGTTTTCCTCTGGACCTCTTAGCCCATGAAGCAATTCAACAGTTACCCATGTACACAGCATATGAGTCATGTTCATAAAATCAGCTAGACATCATTCCTAGACATCAGATTCTTCATATTAAATACATTTCTTAATATTTTTCCCTTGATGGTTTAAGGTGGTTTTTGTTATTCTACCTGATAAGCAATTGATTTACAACCTTAGTTTAATTCTCTGCACCTGGGAACTAACTGCCAGCAACAGCTTCAGAGAAATTGACTAACTGGATCATTCAACCAAAATTCGGTAGAAATGTCCACGGATGTAAATTTCAGAGTAGCTGACTTTGCTCTAAGACCAGCTCCCAATCTACACAAAATAAAAGACACACACAACCCAAACCCAGGTCTTTGGACACTGCCATTCTCTCACCAGGAGGAGGGAGGGGCTCCAAAGGGCTGCTCCAAAAGAGGAATGTAGCTCACTGAATGGGTCCATATGGACACTTGGATGAGAGATCTGAAATTCCACAATTGTTCAGGGGCTAGAAGCAGAAGAAGCAATTAGAGGCTGCTCCAAAGAGAATGCTGAATATCAAATTAAATGTGAGAGATGTCAGGTAATGGAGAATGGGAGACTGCTGGCAGAGAGATTGGCATTTGAAAGGCTAAAGGCATAACTCCACCCAGGGGTATTTGCATCAAGAAACATGTGTAGTTGAGTTCTTGCTATGTAATCATTTTTCCTATATTTTGATGCTCTTACTGCCCCTTTAAGGCGAGTATATAATTGTCCCCATTCAACAGAAAGGAAAACCAAGGCAAAGAATGATTAAATAAGTTTTATAATCAACTAGCTAGTAAATAGTAGTGCTAACTTCAGGAGCCAGCTAGATGCCTGAGTTCAGGCAGGTAACCATTCTATGCACCCATGCTCAGGAGTGAGTGTTTACTATGAGTTTGCCTCAGGCCCTGTGCTGTGGGGATCTTACAGACCCTCAGGAAGCATAACTCTTGGTTGAGGTTACAAGTAAGTACATCGACCAACCAAGAGTAAAATGATCACATGGCAAAATAATTCCATGGATCTAATTGTCAGTTAAGCGGCACCGCCAACATACAGTCTGCATTTACTCAGGAAGTTGCTTTAACAGAGAAGTGGGAGCTGAAGTGGGACCGCAGAGACCACAGGATGCTGTCTTAGCAAGGAGGCTCACCTGGGAACAATGATATATACAGATCTAAGAAGCACAGACACTGTCAGAACAGAGGGTCCCTCACCTACAGTAGTTCCGCTTAAAAATTTTCTGACTTCATAATGGTGCAGAAGGGATCAAACTTGGGTGAAAACTGCTCTTCAAATTTCAATCTCAGATTATTTCCTAGACTACCTATAGGGTAGTACCCATCTGGTGGACAGCTGTCAGCCTGATGCACATGAGGGAACATACTGTTCATGGCCAACACTGTAGTAGGCTTATCATGAAATAATCCTGTGTGGACATAGTGCTCTGAGCAGAACACTGTGGGGGGTAGAGGAAGAAGAGATGGTCATTCAAGCAAAGGAGGTTAGATGGAAATCTGAGGAAGGAATGCTAAACAGAGAGGATGGCTTGTGTGGACATTTGAATGCTTTGCAGCAGCTAGAACACCAGTGATGCATCAGGTGTCTAAGATAAAAAGCTGAAGGACATTTACATAGAGAAATTGGTTCTGAAATTGTCTCTTCATCTTGTAAGCCAGGGACTGCCATCACTAAGGCGGGCATAAACTAGGATGCTAGCCATCAGAGATGGGAGACCAAGCAGAGGACTGGATCCTCCAGGGCAGATAAGAAGGGTATGAACCAGAACAATGACAGGAAAGGCGGAGGTGGGATGGAATTGAGAAGTTTGTGGGAAGTGAAGTACACATCTGTATTTAGACATCAGAACAGGGAGTTTGAAATACACAAAAGGAACCATCTTTCACTGAACCTGCCATTAGAGTTTCTAGAATCCTTAGGGAGATCAGGCTTACTGTATTTGTCGTCTTAGCTATTTGATTTCACTTTGAGATTTGAAGGTTTGTTGAAACCTTCCCAGTTGTCATCTGACAGTTTATAATGCTCTGAGAACCTCTTAATGGGAAAGCACTCTAAACCCCATAGTGATTTCTTCTAATATTTTTAGTATGTCTTATTGCTGTGGAGTAGTGAGGAAGGCCCTTCTTGGCAAGCAAATGGTTTAGTAGCCATTAGTGCAAGCGATTTTTGCTATTATTAAATATAGACGGGGTGTTAGAAATGTCATCAGAATTTGCAGATTATAATTACTCCTCTCTTGTGTGCTGCTGAAGCTTGTCTGACAGAAGGTGCAGTTCATTGTTTTGGCCTGAGCTGAGCTCCAGAGCCAAGCCATTTGTAAGAGATGTATACACTGTTGGAAATGTTTGGGCATCTTTTGTCAAGGGTGTCCTTGGGGGATATAGTAAGTGACTTCAGTAAGAATCTTTATGACTGATTAGGCTGAGAGGCTCCTTCCTCTCCTGCTTCTTATGCATCATCATCATCAAGCCTCTTCCCACTCCACCTACATCAGCAAGAGTTTGTCCATTCTTGCCTCTGAGTATGCTGACTTCCAGGCCATTCTTCACCCATTTCCAGTAGATCAGCATCCTGTTCATTGACTCTTTTTTGTTTGCTTTGTTTGTTTTATTTGTTTTGTTTTTCTAGGGCCTTGGTCTCTTTGGAAGATAAAACCTGAAAGAAAGAGTATGCATGCAAAGTGTTCTCCCTTCTGGTTCTTTTTCTCAGTGGGCAGAAAGGGATGGGAAGGGGGGGGATACTTTCTGAGTATGCTCTGTTCTCTGACTCCACCCTCCTTAGCCCCGCTGTACTATAGTGAGTTCTTCTAGTTCCAAAAGGCCATTTGACGTTTCTCTTCCCAACTCAGGATAGCTCAAGGTCTTTAGGGAATCAGATGGAGTTGGAAATAGTGATGCACATCTGGGAGGTGGAGAAAGGAGGATACCAGTTTGAGGCCAGCTCAGACAAAAGTTATCAAGACCATATCCTAAAAAGCAGGGGCCAGGCACTGGTGTCTCACACCTGTACTGTAATCTAGCTACTCAGGAGGCTGAGATTTAAGGATCATAATTTGAAGCCAGACCAGGCAGGAAAGTCTGTGAGACTCTTATCTCCAGTTAACCACCAGGGAAACAAAGCTGGAAATAGATCTGTGGCTCAAGTGGTAGAGCACTAGCCTTGGACAGAAAAGGCTAAAGGCCAGTGCCCACAAACTAAAAGTGAAAGCAGCAGCAAGGTTCCAGGGGTAGAGCGTTTATCCAGCTAGTTCAAAATCCTCAGTTCAATTCTCAGTATGAGAATGTGTGTGTGTGTGTGTGTGTGTGTGTGTGTGTGTGTGTGTGTGTGTGTGTGTGTGTGTGCTCTCAGAGTCTGGAGTCTCTAAGTCCCCATGTTCACCAAGCAGCCAGAGGCTCTCACTGAAGAATATACTGCTTCTGAAAAAAGGCAGTTCTCTTCTTCCTTAACTTCTAATTGGCTCTTGGAACCCTTTTCCCTAATTCCCCCCAAACTAGACCACAAGTCCATATACCATGCACCTATGGATGGTGCACCCACACCCCAGGCTAGGGTGACTCACAGCAATACTGTCTGGCTCCTCAAGGTCTCATTGCCCCTCTCTCCACATCCATGGCTCCAGGAGCTCTACCTCCCCTGGCTCTGGGATGTCAAGTCTCTGTATACAACCTGTGCAAGTCCTCCTCTGGAGATTTTTGCCTCTCAATTTAAACCTTTTTGTCTTGCGACCAGACATAGATCATTTTTTTAAGCATCTCTCATACAGATAAAAAACAATGTGTCTGTGTGTTCAAACAATGCATAAAATTCTCTCTTAACCTTCTTCATGCGTCTTTCCAGAAATACCTTCAAAAAGATCACTTATCCAGCTCCTTTTGCAATCCTCATCATTACCCTCTGAGCTCTGCACAGGACTGAGCTCTGTGAAGTCACCTCCTGCCTTATCTCACTGTTCTTTCTCCTACCCTTCTGTCTACTCTCCACTTATCAGCCAGAATCATCCTTGAAACTGTAAATCAAATATGTCACAAGTCTGCCTTGAAAGTTCCAGTGGGTTCCTGTTATCCTTACAATAAAATTGAACAGAACCTGGGCCCAAGATTGGATCCCATCCTTTTCCTCCTTTCCTCTATCCCTACACACCTTTTTGCTCTTCTAGAAACATCCAAACATGTTCTTATATAGAGCGAATCCTTTCTCTAGGAAAGCCAACCCTTTCCCCATCACATTATCATCTTGTGTTGGAAGAAAAACCTATTCTGCCCCCTCACTACATCCAGCATCACTTCAAAGAGGCTTCCATTGGCTCCACTCCAACAGAAAGGATCTTTATATACCTTGTTTTTATCTCCTCCCCAGCCTTGGTGCTGGTTTTTACCCTTCTAGAATAGAAACTCCTTGAAAGTAGAGTATGTTGTATCCTCATTGCTGAGATCAGAGTCTGGTACATAATAGGCATCAATAAATATTTGTTCAATGGATGAGTCAGGTAAACAAGCTGGTATTGGGTGCACTTTGTCTCAAAGATGGAGCCTTAGTCAAAGTGGAAGAGGAGGTGGTTGTGTGAAGTAGCAGAGGCAACCCTGACACCCACAGGCTGAAGAAAGGACAAGTGTAGAGCTGGGCATTTTACAATTGTACCCAGCAGGCCCTCCAGTGCCTACGGGCATCCAACTCCAATATGACCCAGAGAGGTAGTGCTTTCTCTGCAGGGCCTGCAGCCAAGTTCTCCCCTCCTGGGAACAAATGGACAAACCAAATCAAGCCCTGGCTTTTGTCATGAAAATGAAGAGACTTCTTCATCCCTGCCAGAGAACTCAACATCGGCACACAATGGTTACCTTCATGTCTGTGGGAATGAGGTGAAGTTTGAAGAGGCCCTCCAACTCCTGAGGACACAAACCACTCTCACTGAATCCCCAGATCCCCAAGCAATGGCTCAGGCTGCATAGGAAGTACTAGTGTCTGCAGAAAAGGGCACGAAGTGACCTTGTGAATAGTGCACCCTATGCATTGGATTTTACATCAGGAGGCCCAAGTTCAGAGCAGCCATAGCCCTATCAAGTACAGATGGTTGTGGAGGCTCCTTTCCATTCAAAAGAAGGAAAAGAAATTAGCCCGAAGCATAGAACTGTCATGTGTGATACTGATCTGCCAACCAGTTTCAATAATTCCCCTAAAGTTGCACAGTAATAGCCAGTTCCTGCACTTAACTACTGATCTCCTATGATCAGTTAACTTAAGGCTGATCATGGGTACTTTTGCAAGCCCCTAAATGCTCACCCTTAATCTAGGATAGAGAATCACTCTACTAGCAACTGAAACACAAAAGAAAGCTTCTTGATGTTCATTGGGGAATAGTGTCCCTCCACCTCCTCCCCACAACATAAAAATACAAAGACTCAGCAGTTTCTTCCCATCTCTTACCTCAAAACACAGAGTTCTAGGGCTGGCTTGAGATTTTTAGATTCAACCAATTTCTTGAGCCAAGGGGGATGCAAGAATTTAGCCACTTACCTGTTTCACCTTGTCTCCCTACAAAAACACTAGCTATGTAAGGGCTGTTATTAAGGATATGAGCACTATTGATATAATTGGCAAGTGGAAGAGCTAGCTGTTTATGCTTGCATGGTCTCTCCTGAGGCAGTGCCCAAGTCAGGCAGTTCATTGAATGTTTCCTTAACAGTTTTTCCCCTAATAGATACATATTCCTTAAGAAACTGCTCTGCATTCTCCTGTCCTGGTTCCTGAGTTCATATTTTAGCCTTTCAGAGAAGCCTTGGCTTCTCTGCCAAGGGGTAGGACCCCCATTTATATCCTCAGACATCTGGGGCTCAAACCAAAGCTTAAATAAGATAAAGCTCTTCATTCTTCAAGATCATCTGGAAGAGAAAATATGCTATGAAGGTCAAGAGAATGGGCCATAGGCCAGTCCAAGATGAAGGCCAAGGAAATGGGGCCCAGCCCAGAGCAAAGAAAAAACTATATGTATATGTATATGTATATGTATATGTATATATATATATATATATATATATATATTGATAGAGCGGGAGGAAGAGAGAGAGGAAGAGAGATAATATGTACATTATATATCATAGAGTAAAGGTCATATGTATGTATATAATATAGATAATGGCCTCGGGTGATGGTCAAGTAGGGGCTAGCTAGGGTGGAGATGGAGAGACATAGCTATGAGCTAGCTCAAGGCTTCAAGGTTCATCCCTCTCCCCTAGCACCAGGCCACATGATGACAACACTTTATTTGATTCTTGTGTGTCTTGATGCTACCATTTTAAAATATGGATAATAATGTAGTCCTCACAACATTGTTGCTTGAAGTTTGTACTAAACTATTTACATGATGTCCTTGAAACACTATGGCCACCAAGTAATTGTCAGTTATCACCTTTATAGTAAGGATCGGACTTTTCGTCAATTCAGAACATTTCGTGAGAAAGTGGAGGGAAGTTGTTCTTTTTAACCTTCAAAAAACTAGGACTATCCCATCATAATAGCCATGCCAAGTTTTAGTTCATTATGAAATGTTCACATCTTGGATCTTAGCTCATTGTGGCCTAAAAAGTTCCTATGAAATCTAAAGTCTGAGTAATTTTCATGTTCAAGAAAGTTCAGAGAGATTAACATGCCTTTCTACAAAAGCACACCCAAGATCACAGCACAGGTTTCTTGCAACTACGCTTAATGTTTCTCCCAGGACCTTCTTGGAAATCTTGGTACCTGCCTATTCCTCTGGTTTTCACTGCCTTCCTTCCATCCATTTGATAGCTCACAAACTCCTATGCATCTTACATGTTCTAACTCAACTGTTATTTTCTGTCCAACCCCACTCCATACCTCTTAGAGTTTTTCGGGGTTATTGTCTCAAGATACTTATAATCCTGTATGACAGGGCTTCTCAGAACTAACTGTTCCTTAGAATCATATAAGACTTCTTTTAAAATATTATAAAAAAGAAAAAAATATTATAAATTTAGAGCCCCCTCTAAGACATCTTTAATTAAGTATGCCCTTTGTTTTTGTTTGTTTCTCTTTTTTTGGAAGTGTTCTGGTGATCTAATGTACCAGTATCAAACTTATTATGTAAATCTTATCAAAAAGGGACCAGAAATATTTGTTGATTGCTAGACCTCCAGCACTTTGAATGCTGGTAATGCCACTAAATAATACATAGTTGTCAATAACTTACTGGGTGTTAGTTCTATGAAGGCACACTCATAAGTAGCTTTTTGCATTTATTTCACTTATTTCTGCCAGTCACCCTATGGGGAAGGAGCTGTTATTACCCTACTTAAAAAGAAGAAAGCTGAAACTGGGAGGTAGACAAAGCATGTGGTATCCACATCCATGACCGTTATCCCTGCTGGTCATGTATCCTACCTGCTCCCATGCTGAGAGAAGGGAAACCTTCAAGAAATTTATTATGAAAACATAATCAGTGAATCTGGGGAAATCAAGATGCAGACATGGGTCTGGGCATTGTCTCTAGAAAGTAGAATGGGAAAGAAGAGTACTGGCAAAACTTGCAGCTCAGCCAGCATGGTCCCAAGATGCTATTTCAAAGTCCCACAGATAGCATATTTTAATTTCTGAAGCACAGAAAATTGCCTGAAATGCTTCTTTTTCTTAATTAAGATACTTTTGGCTGCAAGTAACACAATTAATATGACTGAAAAGTTGGGGTTTCCTTTTCTGTAAGAAGTCCAAAATTAGGCCATGCCAAGTTTGGCTGAGCCATGGAACCCCATTACCAGCCCTGCAAGTTCCTCCCTTCTTTCTTCTCTGCCAGCTTCTCTTTGTTGACAGCAATTCTCATTACTATCCTCCTGTGGTTACTGTGGGAAAAGAAGAGAAACTCTCACCTTTAAAAAAAAGTTATTGTTATTTTAAAGGTGATATATAGAGGGGTTACAGTTACCTAAGTCAGGTAAAGAAGAGTACATTTCTTCTTGGACAGTGGCACCCCTTCCCTTTCTCTCTACCAGTTTTTCCCTCCCATTGTATGGTTCATTGTACTATTGTTGCATTTGTTTATCCTTTATCTCTCCATTTCTTCACTTTCCCTTACACTTCAGAGACATGTAAATGAACAAACAGAAAAAGGAAAGAAAACAAAAACAGCACGAAAGAAAAACAACTCTTGTTTTCAATTCCTGAAGTTCATTTCAATAAATAATATTTTGTATGATCAGACACGCATAGGCATTGTGCCTTTCTGTTCCTCTCCTGTGTGTGAACGTCTACAGAGCGCTCTCTCCTTTTGTAAAAAATTCTCTTCAGCAGACCACATGGAAGACTTCTTTTCCTTCCTAGAAATCGGTCACACAGCCTCTGGCGGCTGGAAGGACCTCTGGGAAGGAAAGGAATGTCCATGGTGCTTCTTCTCTCCTGAAGGAGTAGAAATTACTGAGAAGAAGGAAAGAAATGGTTGTTTTCAGGTACAACTGATGTTTCTAACCCAGCCATTCTTCACTTAATCTAGTCACAATGGTTCTAAAGTAGATTTCACCTTCAGAAAAACTTTTTAAATGAGCTTGGCCCTGTGAACCCAGTGCTGTTAGAGGAGAATCTCGGTTCTATGAATCATTTGTTTGTGAGTGTATCAGTACTGGGACTTGAACTCAGGGCCTGGGAACTGTCCGTTAGCTTTTTGCTCAAGGCTGATTCCCTACCACTTGTGCCACAGCTCCAATTACAGCTTTTTGGTGGTTGATTAGAGATAAGTCTCGCAGACTTTCTGTGAGACCATCATTCTCAGATCTCAGCCTCTTGAGTAGCTAGAATTACAGGCCATAAACCACCAAAGCCCAACAACACTGAGTCTTTCAATTTCTACATTCTAGAAAGTTAGACTTTGGAGACAAGGAATTCTTTTGGCTTCTGTTAATGAGACATAATGTTTATACATCTTTATGGGGTAAATTATGATAATTTAATATGTGTATGCAATGTGTAATAACCAAATGAGGGTAATAGCATTTCCATCTCTTCAAACATTAATTATTATGTGTTGGGAATGTCATACTCCTGTAGTCATTTTGAAATATATTAAAGATTTTTAAACTGTTACCTTATAGTACTAAAGAAGAACCAGAAGTAACTCCCTCATTCAATCATATTTTTAATGTCCCTTATTGTATTTCTTTCTGTCTTCTCTCTACACTCCCTTTCCAGTTTATAGTGAACCACTATTCCATTTCTCTATAAAAATCAACTTTTTAGTTTCTACAAGTGAGTGACATAATATTTGTTTTTCTGTGTCTAGCTTACAATGAATGGCCTCCTGTTCCATCCATGCTGCTGCAAATTATGCTGTATCATCAACAGCTGGATTTATATATGTCTTTTGTATCTGTATCTTACCTGCTGTTGGGCATTTGGGTTGAGTCTGTATTTTAGCTGTTATGATTGGTGCTGTACCTAGCTATGAGGACATTTTGGAATGACTAACACTTTCTTCTGTTTCAGGTCAACAGTGATGTCATTTACATCAGGGCTAAGAAAGATGGCACTCATGTGGTAGAGTCCGTGGATACCACACACATTGGGAAATTAATAGTGACCAAGAAAGTTGGAGAAGATGAAATAGAAGATATTACTGATACTTACAAATTCCAAGAAGGTAATTTGCTACAGCCATTTTGCTACAACTATTTTTTCCAACTTCATATAGCGTTTACTCTCTGTGAACCGGAATGTGTTCATGAGAATGCATAGGCATTTGCAGTGTTTGGTGGGAAGAGTAGGAATGTAAACTCTCATGAGCAATGACACCCACATTGATGCTACCTTTTGTAGTTACGTTTGCTTGCTTTGAGCAGAATCCTTTTTCACACGGCAAGTGCAATGAGTTGGCTTAAAGTTGTACCTATTTTAACAGAATACAGAATATGTCCTTCTTCATAAGAACCTTAATGTCTAATCATTTTGTCAGGAGAAAACCATATGGTAAATAATCATATTAGAAAATACTACATAACTTGTAGAAGATTAGTTCAATAATAGAAATTTAAATAACTATCTCATATTTATTGAGCACTTTGCAAATTATTTTTAATATATTATTTCACTGAATTTCTGTGGAAGCCAGATGATATAGATAATATAATATTAATAGTATAGTACAATCTCACTAACTCAGGCCAACTAGATCAAAAAACAGTTTCAACCATAAAATAATGTTTTGGTGCATTTTTGTTCATTTTTGTTGTATAGAATATTTTAAATGGTGTTATTGAGTTCCTGCCCTCTCATTTAATACTAAGCCTCTCCACAATTGTTTTGGCACAAGGGATCCTGGCAGTGAGCACAACTCTTGTCCCTAGCGAAGGGCTAGGAGCATTATCTGGGGAAGGCTATAGGAACAAACAGGGTCACTATGAACTACTAGGAGACTCAGGAAAAGTAAAACTTGGCTAAAGCAAGCACAGAAAGTTGGATGGGGTTCTAAGCAATGGGGACACAGCCAAAGGTCATTGGCATGAAGCAGCCCAGATGTCTAAGCTTGAGGAGTCAAGCTCAGAATGCCTGGTGGCTAGAGACAGAGCCGCTCAAGGTCAGTGCCATCAGGATGTGAGGGTGTGGAGGGTCCTGATGGGAATCTATTTTGCAAAGTATCATTTCCCAAGGTTTTTAAGTGCAGAATTTATTTTAGTGAATGGATAAAAAGGACAAGTAATTAGCATAGGCCTAAATATTCATCAGTATTCCTGATGTGCTAAGGAATACAGGATTTGTTTTAAATATTTTAGATGGTCTCCTTGCTCATATTTACAAAAGCAATTTGCACTATAAAGAAAAAGTTGACTGAACTGAGAACATGTGGGCATGGTGTTAGAAATTCAGACTTTTTATCATAATGTGAACTAGTGAAATTTTACGGTATTTGGGAAAAGGTTCATTCTTTTCTTTATTTGGCTATCACATAGATACAGAAAGTGTTTGATTGTATTTTGCTTTTTTTCCCTTTTTGACTTTTTCCTAAAAGAGAAATTAAAAAAATAATATGTGCACAATTAAACAAATAACTAAGCAAAGTCTTTTCAATATTGAGTTACAAACAGTTCTAGCAAGAAGAAAAGAGTACTGCATAGAAAATGTGAAAGAAGCCAAGTTTGTAATTTCTCTCTCTATATTTTAATGTTTTTTATTGTACAAATACTGTATAGCTGGGTTACAGTTACATGAGCAAGGTAATGAGTACATTTCCTATCAAGCATTGTTGCCCCTCTCCACCCCCGACCCATGCCTAAATTGTAAAGTTTGTTTTTCAATACAAATAACCATTCAACAGCTTGCTCTTAACCAACCATCCTCAGCCCAGAGTTGTGTAGCTACAAGGCTGGAAAACGAGCTAGCTAGTAGCTGTGCAGTCCCATCTGCCCACCTAGCTGTAGAGGAAAATGGAATTCAGCCATCAGCACACTGGATGGACAGAGACTGTGGGACACAAAGGAAGACTCCCACCCAGACTGGTCAGAGATAGCTTGTGGTGTTCACCATACTTTGGGTATAGTCTTGTGGCTGTGCTTATGTATGACTGTCAGAGTAGAAATGAAGGAATAATTCATTCAGTGCTGACCCATGGCCTGACAGGCCCCTAAATGGGGTAGTAGGATACATCCATTTTGTCTTGTCAACATGTTGAATAGACATTTCCGTGTGCAAGTGCTAAACACAGAACTCAGAGAATTGAAACAGATCAAACTGAGTCCAAAAGATAAAAGGTAGATGGCACTGGGAAGAGAGCTCCCCAGGAAAAGACAAAAAAGGGGATCGGAGTATGAATTCCCCAATTTCTCAACTTACTTATCAGCCAGTAACAAGATGCTTTGTCAAAAATGCAGCAGAACACAGCTCTCATTAACTGTTGGCCTTGGAGGTGACAGTGAAAGTCAAATCAGGAGAGGACAGGATCCAATGCCAAGAGAGAAAAAAATTAAAAAACAAAACAAAAAACACCCATAGACAAGGATTAAAACATAAAATGCACCAGCTCTCCATGAGGAAGACTTCGGAAGCTCACACAACCAGAATAGGACAAGAAAGCAAGGCTCAAATGGAAGGCCATGAGTGTTCTGATATAACTAGAAAACCCCCTGAATCCACCTGAATAGTTGCAAGAGGTACTCCCTTTCTACAACATCATGCTTCTGAGCTGAAATTGATCCCAGGTAGATAATTAGTCTCTTAATCAAGAGTGGTCTATTCATTTCACTTTCTACCTTTGCTAATGATGAAATGAACCACTACTTTGAGAAGGATATGGGGACTCTATCTGCATCTGGTGGGAAACATGGTCAATCATTGATGTCTGCCATGGGCACATAAGAAGGGCTAGCAGTGTTCTGGGCCATGCATTGGCCATGCTGATCCTCACAGCACATCTCTCATTCAGTTTCTCTGAATCCACAAATGCTGAATGTGGACACTCAAATACAGAGCTAAGTAAAACCATCAGAAATAACTTATTACCAGATTTAAAAATTAATTATTACTGAAACTGGAGGTGTGGCTGTGAGCAAAAAGGCCAAATGAGAGCTTGAGGCCCTGAATTTAAATCTCAGTACTGGCACCAAAAGAAAAGAATGAAAAAAAAGAAGGAAGGAAGGAATTAAAATTAGTTAAATTATTAAGTGAAAGATTATGAAGTAAAAGATTATTTTCCACTTCACTTAACACTTAAATACCAATTTAAAAACTTTTTTTGAAAATTAGGAAACTCCAAAACTATGAAAACCAGAATCCTGAAAACATTGTCAAACATTTGCAAAGTATATATTCGTTGTACAAGGAGAAGTTTCATTGTGACATTTACATACATATATACCATGTACTGGGGTCAAATTCACCTTCTTTCTCTTATCTCCCCAACACCCCCACTCTTAAAACAATTTCAACAGGTTTCATTGTCTATTTCCATGCATTGCTGTGAAGTATGTAGAACATTATACACCTTAATTTACCCTTTCTATTGGCTCTGCCCAACTGCTCTCATCGCCCCCATACCTAGTTCCCAACATAGCCTGTTTTCCTTTCATATAATTCATTTTTAGGAAGCCCACTGAAAGCTATTGAATAGCCTAAGGTAGGAGGGATGGGGAAGAACAGAGCAATAGTTGGGTTAATCTGACTAAATTCTAATGTATGCATGTGTGAATTATCATGGTAAAGGCCCTCTGGATGATTTATATATACTAAAAACTAAAAAACTTTTACAGTGACACTATAGCTTCTTTTGTGACTGTGCCTCCATCTTGCTTCCTCTTTGCTCCACTAATTCTTTACTTGGTCATTTTGTTCTCATCTCTCCTTTTTCTTTTCGTGGTCCAGTCGTGGGGCCTGAACTCTGGGCCTGGGCGCTGTCCCTCAGCTCTTCAGCTCAAGGTGAGCGCTCTACCACTTGAGCCACAGTGTCACTTCTGGCTTTTTTTCTTTTTGTTTATGTGGTGCTGAGGAATCGAACCCAGGGCCTCGGGCATGCAAGGCAAGTGCTCTACCACTGAGCCACCTTCCCAGCCCCACATCTCTCCTTTTTCTATGTTCTCTTACATTCTACTTAAGTGTCTCCAACAATTTAAATAAAATACTTCACAAAATCCTTTCTAACATTGTGTTCCCTACCTCTCATGCCCCTGTGGTGTTACTCCTTGTCTGCCATCTGACTTGCACCTTACCTTGTTCCTTTTCCATTCATTGCCCATTGTACCCTAATTTCTGCTACCGGCGTATCTTAAAGGCTGTTCTTGTCAAGGTCACAAGGTCACCTTTCCTATTTCACCTTACCTCCTCATCCTCCCTTTCCCTCAACCTAACTCATAGAAATTGGAGCCCTGCATCTTATATATACATTTTTCTAATTTGGGGAGGAGAAGAGAAATAACAAAATGCTGAAATAAGGATGCAGGTTGACCCATTGTAACAATGAGATGTACTAAACACTATGTTGAAAACGAACTTATAACTTGGAGGGAGGAGGAGTTGGGGAGATGGGGAGAGAAGCAATATTAGGGTATAAAGGAGGAGGTAGCAATGCTCTATAGGAAATGTATTCATTACCTTACTCATGTAACTGTAACCTCTCCATACACTATTTTTACAAAAAAATTTAAAAACATAAAACATAATATGACAGGAAAAATGCACATTTTGAAATGGTCAGTAGGGGAATCAATTGTGTATCTTGCAAAAGATTTTTTAAATTTTTTAATATATTTTTATTGTGAAAATACTGTACAGAGGGGTTACAATTACATGGGCAAGGTAATGAGTACATTTCTTATCAAGCATTGTAGCCTCCTCCTTTGTTTCCTCTTCCCATCCCTTCCCATCCTACTCCCGCCCCCCCCTCACCCAATCCTCCCCGCCCCCCCACACCAAAGTTGTAAAGTTCGTTTTCAAATAGACATATGAAGAAATGCTCAAACTCACAAAAGATTTTTTTTTAAAGAAAAGAAAAAGAAATGCAGGCCCATCATAGCACTGCTAACAAGCCACTCTTCCTGTGGCTTCCAGAACATTCCAGTTGGAACACACAAAGCATCTCCTCAGCTCATTTTTCAGTCCTCTTGCTAGCCTCCTACTGGCATTCTACCTGTGCCACAAGCAGCAGCATCTAAACAGCTACACCTTCTCCACCAAGCCAATATACTGCCTACCTTCTTGTCTATACTCACAGTGCAGAAAAGAAGCCCTTCAAGAGGGCTCACTGCCATTCACACTGCTTAAGGGTCTCTCCCACATGTCCTCAGGCTCCAGCAGCTGTGAGGCACACATCTGTACTACAATGGCCCTTCATGTGTCCTCTGTAGCTGTGAGGAAAAGAGCATCTATCATCTATGCCTGGCATAGCAACTGGAGCATCATGGGGGTTCTGATAGTGTAAAATGAGCAAATGAGTAGTCTCAGAAGTAGCACTTCTACAAATGGGCTCAACCGAATGTCAAATGTTTTATCTGGTACTTGTCATAGACACAAAATTTTGGCTGTAGCTGAAAGCAGGGTGCTTCTGTAATGTGCAGTCCTTTTGATCCTTGTGCCAGCCAGCTCCAGGGTCCTGGAGATGCAGATATGGACAAAGTAGATCATGTCCCTGATGTCACAGAGCTGTGTGGTAGAGGAACCAATGCCACACAGGGCCCAGTGCTGCAACTGGGATGAAAAAAAGGATAGAAAAACCAGATATGCGTCATGAAGGACTTGCTGCAGTTACAGATTTATAGACCAGGAACTTGGAGAAAGCGCTGTTGGCTAGAAATAGGACAAGGGGAAGAGGCTTCATCCAACAGAAAAGGACCCTCAGATTATATCTGGGTTAACAGGAAGATGGTTTTGACCTGGTTCCTGGAATCTATAGAGGAATCTCAGAATACAACCTGGCTTTAGATCGTTTCTTTGCTGTCCATTGCCCTCAATTATGTCACATACCAGAGCACAGCGTATCATCACAGAGAAATGGCTTCACCAAGCCCTGGGAAAACTTGCAATTCCATCCTCTCTTGAGACCTTGACTGTTTATGAGTTCCTTCACCAATTTCTGCCTGACAGTGCCCTGCTCCTAGGGGACACGTGCCTTCCAGGAGGAAGTAGGTTCAGGGCTGCCCTGTCCAGAGAGACTATCAAGTTGCATAGAACTCTACACAGGCTTATTCCTCCTCTGTGCTAGACCAGCCCTTCTCCCAAAGGCAGGCCCTCTCAGGTTGTGTTTCTGCTGCTCCAATTTGCCTCCTACATTCTGCCTGAATGCATATTTGGCCCCCATCCAAAGCAATAATCATTAATTCCCTCTATCTCATGGACCTATGTGCCAGATGATTTCTGCTAAGATATCTGCACTTGCTCTCAGCCCTCCTTCCTTTCATTAGGTCCCTTCTGTTGAACTGCAAATCTGGCCTGTGCTTACAGTCTTCACAAGCAAGGAGAGTGTTAATAGACATACACACCCAGAAACACTCCCCTCCCTCTTACACACACACAAACACACTCACACTTACCACGCATATTGACACATGATGCTGTTCCTCTGTTCTTCCAGAGTACTCCTGCTTATTTATACCTACTCCCCCTAGTCCAACTAACAATTCCACAATGTAGGTGGCCTCATTGTACAGACAAAATCTGATGGGATTTCTAATGCCTAGATTGTAGTGTTGTTATGATAATTAAATGAGATAATGCATAGCAAGCATCTGTCCATAGCCTAACCTATACTTAGCACTTCATGACATTTGCTGTGGTCAGTTGGCTTCCTCACCATCATTGTGTTCAATTATTAAGTAAGTGAAGTAGAAGAAAACATCTTAAAATTAACCTCATAGGCTCATACCTGTAACCCCAAATACTCAGGAAACTGAGATCTAGAGCACTGAGGCTTGGAGCCAGCCTAAGCAGAAAAGTCTTTGAGAGTCCATCTGCTATTGATGAGCAAAAACACTGGGCTGGAGGGTTGGCTTAAGTAGTAGAATATCAGTATGCAAACTGAGTTATCATGACACCCTTACTTAGTTCAAACCCTGGTCCCTGGACACAAAACAGCTAGCATAATCAGAGAAGCCACTATTCTTATCATAAAGTGACTCTTTCCACCAGTTATTCTCATTTGCTTTCATCTTTTCCCCTCTTTCACAATGTATCGATACCCAAAGACATTTACCATGAAGAATGGTGGTTATTCCCCCTACAGTTTCCCAAGCCTATCCCCCAAGGCAAGTGCTTTATCCACAACCATTAGTCTAGCTGGTGGCACAACCTCTCTGAGTCCTGACATCTCTGTTTCCTTCTGCTTTGCCTGCTCTAAGCTCTTATTTTCTTCTCCAGAGCAAGTTCTTTCTCTCTTTCCCTCCTTCATCTCTACCACCACTGCTTCAGAAACTCTTCAAGGCAATCTTCCCAACCTGCATTAAAATTTACATCACCCCATGACAGTAAGGTGTTCCTTAGAACTATGTTCAGTGTCCCATGTGTCTGGGGAATTTGGGGTGAAAGAAAATGAAACAGGTTTGGAGCTGGGAAGGTGGCTCAGTGGTAGAGTGCTTGCCTCGCATGCATGAGGCCCTGGGTTCAATTCCTCAGCACCACATAAGCAGAAAAAGGCAGAAGTGGTGTTGTGGCTCAAGTGGTAGAGCACTAGGCTTGAGCTGAAGATCTGAGGGACAGTGCCCAGGCCCAGAGTTAAAGCCCCGCAAACAAAAAAAAAAATGAAAGAAGATGAACAAGTTTCCCCACTAGTGGGGCTTCTCCTCAGAACCTCTGACAAACTAAAGAAGGCTGTGCATGTCCAGGTAGCTCTAGATAACTCAGGGCTCCTAAGGAGAAGGAAGACAACTTCTTGCCAGAGCCCAGCAAAATGGCTCATGATTTGGAAAACAAAGTAATCTCTGTAGTCTGCTAGGAACAGTAGGCAGAGAAAGACAGGGCAGGCTCAGCAAGGGAAAGAGAAAATGGAAGAAACCCAAGTGGAAAGAGTAATGAGGGAGTCAGTTTCTGTTGAGGAGAAACTTATATGATAGGAATTAGGTGAGCAAGAGGCAATTGTTTCTAGTGTCTTTGCTTAGAAAACCTCAAAGTCTAGCTTCACGACTAGTACTCAGAGGGGAAAGAAAATGAACACCACAGTCTAAGAAGAGTTTTGTTAGTGTCTATTTAACCTTCTGAACCTTGCATTATGGCCCTGGAAAAACAATCCTTAGAGCAATCACCTGTGTAACCCTGTTTCCAAATAGATGACGATCCAATAACCTAATATCTTGGGCAGGTCACTCCTTCTCTGGGAACCTGACTTCACAGAATTTATTCAGGAATGGCATGTGTACCTTCCTCCTAGGGAGGCTGAGAAGCTCCTAGAGGCACTTGATAAGGACAGTGGGCAGGGCACCTTTGAAGACAGTGTTCTCTTGGGTGGGTTGCATTTTTTCTTGCTGGTCATTATTTCTGATTGTGTCTTAGGAAAAGAAGAAGAGAGGCTGGCTCTAGAAACAGCTCTGATGTATGGAGCTAAAAAGGCCCTCAACACAGAAGGCCTCGTCAAACCTAGATCCGACGTGGACATGAACTTTGAAGTAGAAAATGCCGTGCTGGGAAAAGACTTCAAGGTCACCATCACCTTCCAGAACAATAGCTCCCACCGTTACACCATCTCAGCCTATCTCTCTGGCAACATTACCTTCTATACTGGAGTCTCCAAGATGGAATTCAAGAATGAGGCCTTCGACATCACCCTGGAACCCACGTCCTGTAAGCAATCAGCAGTGTCTCTCCAGGACTTGCCACCTGGAGCTCTGTCCCCCTCAGGGGTAACACCCCCTCATAGCTTTTTGTCCGTGCTTCTCCCCAGAGCTTGAGTACCTGACCCACAAAGAGAGATCTCCTCTGCTCTAGAAAGGCACCTTCACATCTCATAGAACTGACCGACATTCTCAAAGCTTAGACCCCAAGAGTCATGAGAATTCAGTGTCACCTCACTTCTTGCTCTTCAATGTGTGGCCCATAGACCCATAGTGTCAGCTTCCTGGATCTTGTTAGAAATGCAGACTCTCAGGCCCCACCTAGACCTCCTGAATCAGAATGTGCACATTAACAAGATCTGGGGATAGGTCTTCACAACAAAGTTTAGTTTAAATCATGCTGCTCTTGATGGTATAACCTCCCAGAAGAAAGGCCCTGCTGGGATTGTCCAGTAGAAATGGTATGTTATGCTTTTCCATTCAGAAGGTAGAGAAAAGATCTCCAAGCTTTGTGAACAAACTATTTATCAGATTCATTAACTGATTAATTTCAATGCTTAGGATGAAACCTGAGACCTTGTGTGCTAAGCAAATACTCTACTGCTGAGTTACATCTGTATCCTCAGCCTGCTTTTAAAAACTGAGCAATCTGATGTCCAAGGAGAATATCCAGCAGCACAAGATAGGACTGGAGACACAGAATGTGCCAAGTGGGAGCCTAGGAAGGGGTTTTTGCTCTCTGCTGTCTTCCATGGGTTTTTTCCCTTCCTCTTTATTTCCCAGCCTTTTTTCACTCACAGCTTTCCCACCATTTCATCATGGTGAATATAAAGACTATTTTTTTTGCATGTCAGGATTAGGCTGACATGTTGCAGCTACACTGGGGATGGCAGTTTGACTGGTCCTGTGTTTTCAGGGCTGTTAATATTGGGTAGGTTACCATGATGGGCCATGGATGGACAAAATGAGTAAATAAAAAGAAACTCTCCAGGTGGAGCATGTTTAGTGAGACAGAGAAGACTAGAGAGCACTTGACAGTTGGAGGCCTGGGTTTCTGTTGACATGACATGACTAGAGAGCACTTGACAGTTGGAGGCCTGGGTTTCTGTTGACATGACATGATCCAGAAAAAGAAAAAGCAAAGAAAAGAAAAAGATTACACATAAATAGCATTTTTGGGGGGGTCCGGTCGTGGGGCCTGAACTCTGGGCCTGGGCGCTGTCCCTCAGCTCTTCAGCTCAAGGCTAGCGCTCTACCACTTGAGCCACAGCGCCACTTCCGGCTTTTTTCTTTTTGCTTATGTGGTGCTGAGGAATCGAACCCAGGGCCTCAAGCATGCAAGGCAAGCGCTCTACCACTGAGCCACCTTCCCCGTCCATAAATAGCATTTTTTATAAAGACAAGACAAGCAAGATTAAGATTCTCTCTCTCTCTCTCTCTCTCTCTCACACACACACACACACACACACACACACACAGAGGATGATATGCCGGTTGTTCTCTAGCTTTCTGCATTTGGTAGCTGTTTTAGCCCAGAACAAACCTTCAGAGAAGTATTCCCAGAAAGATGAAAAACTATTCCTAAAACTCCTAATTCCAGAAATCCACTAGAATACAAAGGAAGTGGATATTTCCAGCTTCAGTAATGTAGCTAAGAGTTAAGAAAATCACCATCATATTTTGGGGGGAACCTTAGGAGATTTAACATTTTTTTAATCTCAAGGGGTAGGAAAGGATTTTCATAGAAAAGAACAGTCAGGATAAGGGACTGAAAAGGAAGAAAGTCCTTGGAAATGCGTAGACATAGGCAGGCATATTCGATTTCAGAAAGCCTCAGCCTTGGCAAGAGACTCATCTCCATATAAGGAGGGATGATGTCACTGCTAGCCCTGCCTCCTTGGGCAAGTTGCCTAAACCCTCTGCATTCTCCCTCACCTGCACATGGAAACAATACCACCCACACCACAGGATGGCCTGAGCTTGTACTTACTGTCTGTAAGTTCCCATTCAGGTTTGTTATAGGGATGCAGCAATTCCTACCCATACATGAGGAATCACGAGCACAAAGCAATCAAATAAGTGAATGTATAGTGTAGTTGGATGTGTAATAGGAAAATGTGAAGAAGATTAAAGGGAATAGAGAATGCCATCCTGGGGCAGGGGTAGCCAAGGGAATCCTACCCTACAGATGACATTGAACAGATGGTCGTATAGCCAAAAGAATCCATAGGCACAAAGGTCAGGGGACAGGTTTGGTGTGTTCAAAGAGAACTAGAGAGCTAGAATGGAGAATTGCTATGGTTTGGATGTGGCTCATATACTTGGGTTCATATACTTGGTCCTCAGTGTGCTGACATTGGAACTGGTAAAGCTTTTTTTCTTTTCTTTTTTTGCTGTTCTTGGGGCTTGCACTCAGGGCCTGGGCTCTACCCCTGAGCCTCTTTGTGCTCAAGGCTAGCCCTTGACCATTTGATCCTCAGTGCCACTCCTGGCTTTTTCTGAGTAGTTTACTGGAGATGAATCACATGGACCTTCCTTCCAGGGCTGGGTTCAAAGCATGCTCTTAAGATCTCAGCCTCCTTAGCAGCTAGGATTACAGGTGTAAGCTGCGGGCACCTGGCTTAGAACTGGTGAAACTTTCAAGGGGTTGAGCCTAGTAGTGAAAGGTCCATGAGGACATTGGCCTCAGAAGGGATTAATAGTTGTCTTGTAGAGTGAACCAGTTCCTGGCAGAGCAAATTATCGGTTTGGGGGAGGGGTGGTTAATGAGGCTATCTCATGAGCTTGGACCCCTCTGCAGAGGGGCGGTCCCCGTTGTGTTCATCTAACATGGGAGGATGAAACCAAAATACCAGCACTATTTGAGCCCCCAGCCCCTAGGATAGTGAGTCAAATAAACCTCTTTTTATTTTGTGCCGTACTAGGACTCAAACTCAGAGACTGGGCACCGACCCTTAACTTTTTCATTCAAGGCTGGTACTCTACCACTTGAGCCACAGCTCCATTTCTGGACTTTTAGTGGTTAATTGAAGACTTTCTCACTTCTGCTGGCTTGGAATCATGATCCTCACATCTGTCTCAGCTTCCTAAGTAGCTAGGTTTACAAGCATGAGCCATGGACACCCAGGGGTCCTCCTTTCTTTATAAATTACCTAGCTTCAAGTATTTTAGCACACAATAAAAGAAAACAAAACAAGAGCAAAAGTGATGGAGGGGAGCAGTGGCAGGGAATGGTGGGTACAGATCAAACAAAGAATTGTCAACCCTTATTCAGGCATTATTGCTATTTCTAGTGAGCTAAGGGCCATTTGTGTATGATCTAACTTGAGTTTTGGAAGACCACTCTGGCTGCTGTGTTGAGAAGAGGTTGTGGAGGAGGCAGAGCTGATACTGGTAGACCGGTTAGAAGATGGGATGATGACAATGGTTCTGGTGATAGTGATAGATGTGATAAGCACTAGTCTGATGTAGGTGTGTTCTGAAGGGAAAGCCCACCTGATTGGCTGAGGGATTTGATTTTATTTACAAGTGAGAGAAGTAGGAAAAAGGTGCAAATGGTAGATATGAAATGCTTTGCACATGGTCAGCTCTCAGTACATGTTAGCTTTCAACATTGTGAGAAACTGTGGTTGAATTGATGTGTTCAAGGTCAGACACAGTAGTCAGGCAATGACAATAGGTGGGAACTTGGGCATCAAGTGGTCCAAATGTCTTCCTTTTTATCTCTATTATTACCAAAATCCAGATGGCATCTCAGACAAAGAGCTAAACATTAATCCTTTCCTTACCCACAAGCATCCTGTCTATCCAACTTCCTCCCTTCTCTCTCTAACCCAATTAAAGAATGAGTTTATATGAGTTAGATGGCTGAAACAGCACAATATAGCCACACTTAGTCATGGACATAAGAACTGGTGACCAAGCCTAAGGCTGAGTCAGTATTAACTCATCTCTTACCCACTCAGACCACCCCAGGGCTTGTCCTGAATAACTTAAAGGGAATTAGAAACTCCCTTGCCAGGCACTGGTGGCTCATGCTGGTAATCCTATCTCAGAAAGCTAAGATCTTACGATCATGGTTAGAAATCTGAGCAGGAAAGTCTGTGAGACTCATATCTTCAACTAACTACCAAAGAGTCAGAAGTAGAGCTGTGGCTTAAATAGTAGCATTCCAGCCTTGAGTGAAAAAAACTGAAGAACAGTTCCTAGGCCCCAAGTTCAAGCCTCAGGACAAAAAGGTGTGTGCACATGCCCACGTGCACACATACACACACACACACACACACACACACACACATAACTATTTACTAATTTGCTCAATGCAGGTAGATGGCATTAAATACATGTAATAAACTGCATATTGCAATACCAAACTGCAGTATTTTGCAAAAAGCCACATACTTCTAAACCTCAATCAAGCATTTTTAGGTGCCTCTATTGCAAAGAAAGTTCTCCAAGTAGAAAGGGAGGCAGATTTTGCAGATTGAAGATGAAAGAGATTGTGGGGGCTAGAGTCAGGGAGAGCTGAATAACTTAAACCTCCCAGTACCTTCAAAGGTGTTATCATTTCCACTTGGCTATATTTAGTTTTCTTTGCTTTTTGGAAAAGCGATGAGGCAGCTCAAGTATGTGTCTCCCTTGGCTTTCCCCAGACACCCTAAATGATGTTGGCAGCTTCCCAGCTCCACCGCTCATAGAGTGAAAATCTATTCCTCCTTCTCTTGCCACGTTTAATAAACTTTATCTAGAACAATTTCTTGTGCAGTGGCAGAACACAGCACTTACGTAACGAACTATTTCAGGAGCACTGTTCTCTTGGGCACTGAAGTGCAGTCCTGCTTCTTTAGAGCTGTGATTTAAGGAATGCTCAACCTCTAAGAAGAAAGGAAGCTAACAATATAAGGGTAGCAAGATGCTCTATTAAGATGGGGAGAGAGAGACATGTGTATCCCACTAGTCTACAGAAATGTAGCGGTGAAACATAACCCTCTAGAAATAGCCAGAGGAAGGCCATTTTTAAATTTTTCTATTAATGGAAGCAGCTTCCAAGCCTGACACTTTGCCACTCTATCTATCAGATCTGGAGATATGGAAAATAGGCCACACATGTTCACTTGAAGTTGTATGCAATGGAGGAAGGGCTAGGGCTGGAAGAACCACAGAAGGAGCAGGGTCTAAGATTCCAAGAACACAGTATGAGTGAAATATTCAAAGTCCAGCACCATTTGGGGGCGGAGGTTAAAGCAAGACCATAGCTTCAAAGAATAGGCTTTGAATAGAATAGTACTATCTCGAGAATTTCATCAGCCAAGCTAGTTGTTGATGCTTTTCATGTATGGACAATGCATTCAAATGATCTTTGTAGATAGGGAAAGGGTCTGACTTTTGGGGCTGGTTGCTGCTTTGATCTGCAGTCTTCCCAATAGCACCTTTGGCCTCTACCATGAGAAGCCAGAAGCCAGTGACAACCCATTCCCAAACCCAGAAAAGTCTTCAGATATTGCCAAAGAACCTCTAAAGAAGACCACTGTAAACTGTCATCCTTTGACAACTACCAGTTGGGCAGCCTTTCTAGTGGGCCAGGGATAAATGTACTGGGACATAAGAATTTCTATTTTAAGACCCAGGACAGCTCTAACTCTGCTTTAACTCCACCTACCCTCTTCCATGTTAGAATTTCCCATATCTCTGAGTTTTTTTCACATTTGAAGAGATAGCACCTGGGATCTAATTCAGAGTTGAGGTGGATCAGAGAACCTCTATTACTAATGTGTCTGCGTCTCCATGATTAGTGTTATTGATCTGGGTTGGGATCCACATCTTAGGCCCCCACAAATCCGCAGGACATGTGAGGCGAAGGGAAGATTCAAGTCTGTACAGGAGGGCTAGCTCAGCCACAGCCTGCCCAACCCCCAACTCACCTCCAGAAGCACTGTCCAAGATAAAGGCCTTCTCTGGCCTCCTTAGGGCCAAGGGTTGCCACAGATCCAACACAGACATGAGCATCCTACCTCTATGATGGGAATGGGGAAATGGTCTATTGCCAGTGTATCAGGCTAAACTGACCTGTCTCTGCATAAGTGACCTCATGAGACTATGGACTTTAATAACTTCCAAAGGAAGTAAGCATCTTTAGCAACAGCTAGATGTTGGGGTGGAAGACAGTGAACGTGTGTGAATGTGTATGGATTCTGTGGTTATGGATGAGGATGGAGGTGTAAGCCACCCAGTCACCTGCTGGGAGTGCCAGCAGATGGGCAGTACAGGTCCCATGCCTGGGCTTGGCTTGCAGAAGGACTGCTCCTTGACATCCAGAACCTTAGGGAAAATGGAAGTGATGGGGAAAGTGGGTCAGAACTACAAAGTACAAGGTCATCATCTTCAGCCCAGATGGTGATTGGAGAGGACACAAGGTTCCTCCTCATCTGCCACATCATCCTTCATGGCTTGTCCCAACACCTAAAACTAGCAGCAGTGCCTTGAGGAAACAAGCTAGTGTTTGGCCCATACGTCCTCTAAATAGAGATGGGGGAAGGGCTGCTGAAAGCATTTAGAGGCCTTGGACCTCACTACTCCTGCCTGTGGGCAGGGTCCCCACTCAGATCAAAGTAGCCTCTGTCATGACTCCTTGGTCCTCCACTTTAAATAGCCACTTTGCCACAGAAAAGCAATGTTTGGAAAATTGGGCACATTTTCACTTGCAAGGCTTCACTGAATACTAAATTTCTAGCACATTCTTCTTTCCCCACAAAGCATGGGTGTTTGTCCCTGAAGGGTTCTTTGTTCCATTTCCTTTGACCTTTGATGAGTTCCTGGTGACTGAAGTATGAATGAAGGAAGGACAGGGGAACCAAATGCAATGAAAACCCTGCATTTGGTCTTGATGACACTTGTTTGCTTTTCTTTCCAGTCAAGAAAGAGGAGGTGCTGGTCAGAGCAAGCGAGTACATGAGCCAGCTGCTGGAGCAAGCCTTCCTGCACTTTTTTGTCACTGCTCGAGTCAATGAATCCATGGATATTCTGGCAAAGCAGAAGTCTGTTGTGCTGACCATCCCCAAGGTCATCATCAAGGTCAGTTCTAGCATCTCCTCTCAGACAAGAGAAAGAGGCAAGGTTGTGGATTAGGGTGTGTGTGTGTGTGTGTGTGTGTGTGTGTGTGTGTGTGTGTGTGTGTGTGT